ACAGGGAGGACGTGCCTCTGAGATAAGGGGGATATAAAATATCTGGACGTGCAGGGTGTGAAATACGAAGGTTAAGATCTCTCCGCGCGTGTGTTTGCTCTAGTTTTCCTTGTGTTTCCTCAAAATCTTTTGTTACTCAGACACAATTGTTTACGATTGTACACACGTTATGGAACAGCTCCATAGAGTTAGTTCTGTCCGATGCACTGTAGAAGTCGTGTTTTCTAATTATTGTGTTATTTCAGTTATTTAAATCCTCTTTAACCAAATAAAACTATCTAATCATAAACCAAAACTCGTCCCCTAGTTATATAACCAAACAGTAAAGCACAAAACCATGAAATTAACCCTAAAATAATGGAAACGTCATTTCGTCAACACTCAACACTAGCGATCAATGTCACCGGATATGAACTAGACACGAAGAGATCGAAATAACAAATATTTAAACTTTATTAATATTATATAATACAGGATTATTAAGCTAAATGAATGTTGGAAAACTCTTTTGGTAAATTTCCCATATAGGAAATAGTTCGTTATCATAATCATTATTCGGCCCATTTTCGTGGCACTTTTACGGATGTAATGGAGCCTATCTTACCCTGTAAATCGCGGTCAAACTCGGTAAAGACAGCAATTTTGGACGAATTTCAGGGTGAAAACTATATTTGCGGAATAAGTGTGGCGGGTAGTGTTCAAAATAGGCCAAATAATTATACAAAAGAGTTTAAAAAAAAATTGTTTGGAGACCCTAAGCTAAGAAAATACCCTTTATATATACTAGCTGTTACCCACGGGCTTCACCCCGTTTGACTTCATAAGTATTAATAAAATTATTGGTTGGTTAAGTTAAGCTTAAATAAACAAAATAGAATACAGTAATAAAAACAAATAAGTACAGCTGAAGTATTTTTTACATTAGGTATATGAAAAGTTCCCTTTAGAAAGGAATTACGACCTTAAAGGGCAATTTATAAAACAATGGATAGTTTTGTGCAAGGTTTCTCGTCATGACGAACATTTAATATGGTTTATGGGGGTGTGACTTGTAGTTTTCTCAAAGGTTCATGGGTACTTTTGGCTTTATATATAGAAGATTCAGTTTTTTTTTTTTCAACTGAATTCGACTATCTGTTTACGTCAGGAAAAATCTTTTAAAAAATATTCACACTTTCCTTCTCTTTAAGTATTAGTCACAGCAATAACTTGCGCCCACTTCGAAACCACAACTGGAACCACTCATTTAACAAATTTCATAAAATTTTACGGAATCTCAGGACTTTTTTGACAGAAAACAATAAATTATATATTTCGATTTAGCGTGAAAATACAGTAAGCAGACTATATATGTAATTTTTACTATTATATGGTGGGTTATATTAAACTTTTGTCAATAGCCTAGATATCTTTTAAAAACTTTATTAATAAAACATTTTTATGACCTTTTGGCCCGTTATAACACTTTCCCTAGAAATACTTTTGGTGAAAACGCCTCCTTCATCCTGAAAGTCACGGTCACAAAAGCGCTGGAAATTGGAGTTTTGACGATTTTCAAAAAAAACTTTTGTGGGTAAAAATAATATTAGCTGAAAATTTGCCAGAGAGAAAAAGTGTTTATAATGACATACGTAATACATTTTAATCAACATAATGGTTAGGTATAGCCTACCTTAGTAAAAATGCCATTGAAATAAATATTATATAATTACTGTATTTTTTACCCTAAATCCGAAACTTTGATCGATGACAAAAGTGACAAAATCAAAAGAAAAGGCATGTAGTGAAAATAAACAATTGCCTTAGCCTTAACTTATTACCAATACTTAATAGACTAATGACATTCATTGGGTCTGATGATGATTGGAGTATCCAATCGAAACCGATTACATCTTACCATATTTGATGTAAATTTACCGTCTTGTGAATTAACACTATAAGCGTAAATATATGTTTTAAGTGTTATTAGACGCATATTTTATTTAATTTCTGTAAATTTAATATCACGTACAATGCTGAAGTTGTTCATTAATTAAAAAGCAGCATAATCTGTTCCGTAATTTAAATTTAATAAACTAAAAAATATCGAGATCGAGAATCAATGGTTTTTAATTTAACAAGTCATTACATGGGAACGACCATCTCGGGGCGCAATAGAAGCCTCCCTCTCGAGAAGTAATTATTAAACCCCCTCCCCCCCCCCATCATCACGACCAGGGAGCACAACGCTTCCACCTCAACCCATTCAAGGGCTTACAATGACTATTGAGGCGAAGAACGTTTTTGCTCTTGACGTTTAAGGGCAGACCCTCATTACGAGTATTATTTCTTTCATAATCCAGCTTTTAGAGTTCTGAGGTTCAACCTTTCAATAAATGTAAACGCGTAATTCTTAAGTTCGACCCACTACCGTTCTCTAGATTGAAATTGGTAGTCCGTTATCTATACCCCCTCCCTAAAAATTTAAGTAATCCTAAGATAGGCTTAGTATCAAAATCATTGTATGGGACTTACTTTTGGCTAGTCTGGGTGAGGCATTAATAGTTTCATCTTGAACCTATTTTACACAAATAATGTAAGTATATCCGTGATGTTCAAACAGGGAGATCAATATCTGGGCGACTTAGTAGACATAATGTATTGGAGGCTGGTTTCATGCACTCTTACCACTGTGGTCACCAGTAGCCTAGGTGACTTAACACGGTCACGGCACAGATCAATGGTGCAAGTGGTACAACAAAAATAACTGACAGTTAAAGATAGAAAAAATTACAAAAATTCCATACCAACAAATCACTGAGTAACAAAGTCCAATTAACGGCCTTGACTAATGTTATACCTTTTGAAAGAAAGCTTGTGACTCTAACAAAATCAAAATTGAGTGTATCGCTAACCTACTGGGCAGTATTTATTTTTCTTGATGTCGATGCCAATATCATTTTCATAAAGAAAGTAGATACAGTACATACAGTGGTACTCAAATAACAGTTTTAGGGAAAATGGTCAAAACCATACGTGCTGTGGATCTGACGGGAATCAAACCCATCCATCCTGCACTGAAGTTCGATACGCTAATCTAGGCTAGCAACACACCCGTACTCTTGGACGTAGGCACGAAAGAGATAGATTTGATCCTTGATGTACCGGCAAATATTTTTGGGGTTTTGACAGCTTTCCCTCAAAGCCGCTTTAAAAACCTTTCCACAGGTGTTAGAAGTGTATTATAAAAATAAGGTTTAAGTTAGTCCACTCTAAATTACATTCGTGGAAGTATTAATATACAATACATGTTTCTAATGAGATTTACATGTTTTGTATTCGCTTCAAATTTGATTCCAAAATTAGTACAATGTAAATCGGTTTATGTGGGTGTAAGCTGCAAAACGCTGTTACAGTAAAGAGCTTAAAGTCGTATCAGCCATGTTTATTGGTTTAGGTATTTCGATGGAGTTTGTTCGAGTTTTGACACAAATCGTATTTTGTATAACTTTAAATTCATTGGATTATTAGATTATTGGATTATTAGATTCAGGAGTATTTTAAAATTTATTTAACTTTATTGTTGGTTTAACAGGATGGTTTTAAATTTATTTAACGGATTTTGCAAAAAATAAAATCAAAAATTGTTTTAAAAATAATGTGATGTTAAAATTGTGACTTTTATTGTTCAGTTTAGTGAATCGTCAATTTTTTGCAATGAGTTTTGCAGTTTTCTAACATTATTCGTCGAGTTGTTAGTGCGTTTATATTTAATTGACACCCACCCCCGTATTGAACCCGGGGGTGAGGGTTTGGTAGAAAACCCCCGTTTTGAAAACGAGATATAATAAAGTATTTAAATAATAAATCATTCTTATCCTGAAATCTAAAACTTTGGCCCCTAAGTTCCCTAGTTAGTTACACCATGTTACACACTATTTATGAAATTAGCAGATATTAGACCCCTACAAAGAAGTTATCAGTATAAGGGAATCTTAATATAAAAAAAACCAATCGAATAAACATTTGAATAGCCAATTTCAACAGCTTCTCTCTAAAAAGCATCTGTGTTATATTATTCAAAGTGAGTCTCTTTTAGTTTATCTTTTGTAAAAAACCACATTATGGGAAATCTTTCATGAAGTCTCACCTAAAATATCTTACAATAAAACTTTTTTGTTGATTTAAAGGATGATAAACAGCCTGAGCTAGACCTAACTATTGCTAAGTCGCTGAGTGGGTTTTGATCGTATGGTTATCGAACAGTTTGCAGGTTTGAACCTGAGAAATGTATGTAGCTTGTAGAAAGTTTGAAACTAGGCCAAATTGGCCTTCATTTGTAGTGGGCCAAGTGGGTATAAATGGTCCTGGCTAATAAAACAGCTGATCTTAGTCTGTAACAAAGCTATCATCTTATCTATCCAACATTCATCTTTCCCTCAAATACGGTACGCACCATGGTGTATCGACATCATACAAATATAATAATCTAATCAATATGCCAACGATTTTATCCTGTAAAGTTGCAGACGCTTTTCAGTAATTAGACCCATTAGAAACATTTAATCTTGGTCATCGTCAAAGCCAACACTCAACTTCACTAATTTTCAACTTAAAATACTCACCCTGGTGCAATTTCTTCGTATAAACTTAAGATATGTACATATTGATGCTGGAAAAGGACCTAAGAGAGAAAACTAAAACTGCCAAACTCCTGGTAGAATTCGTGATGGGTTGGTCGAAGAGAACAGTGAGCTCACAATAGAAAACAACTGCCCTGACGAATTTTCCATAAGCATCCCATCAGCAGGCGCCAGCTGACTATTCAAGTTCAAAAACAGCTTTAGTCCAGTAGGGTTTCAGCTGACTGGACTGGAACATTGCGACGATGACGAGGAAGGTATCCCCCTTCGCTATTCGTAAGAGATGATGTTTGAATCAAGGACTAAACCAAGTAATTGTTTTCGTGGCGTCTTCATCTCAACTTATCGATGAATTAATTGTACTTTTCCATGTTCCAGAGGCACCGCGTCCCACCAGCTGTCCGCCACCGCCCTCCTCTCCTCCCCGGACGGCTCACGGCATCCTCTGGACTTGTATGAGTTCACCGAGGAGGACTTCACTCCCCGCCGGGCTGGACCTGGACTGTGGGAGTGTCTGGTGGGGTGTCGACACAAGATGGACCAGCAGCTAGCCCGCAGGAGGGTGAGTGACTGAAAGTCATGCAAATAATGTAACATAAGAATAACACATACACACACACACACACACAACCTTTTACCATCCTCATGGAACAGCTGAAGCCAATATTATTGTTAGTTCTGTCCGGTTTTCTGTAGATGTCGTGTTGTGGTTACAATTTGTTTAAATTATTTTAGGGTTAGTTTCTCATTATTTGTGTATCACTGTTTGGTTATATAGCTAGTGGACGAGTTATTGTTTATGATTAGATAGTTTTATTTGGTTAAACGAGGATTTAAATTACTGAAATAACAAGAAACAAATTGTAAACAAACACGACATCTACAGAAAACCGGACAGAAATAACAATAAAATTGGCTTCAGCTGTTCCATAAGGATAGGAAATCTACTAAGGGACTATGTTTTATCTATGCTTTTACTGAAATAAAGGGTTTTAAAGCTCCTGTTCATATGTAAAAAAATATTACTTTATTCCCGAGGTGATTCGTCATATAACAGCTTTTGATGGTTTGAGCTATCAAACTTCAGTTTTTGCTATCTAATGACAGTGGTTGATTGTATTGACAGTTGATGGTATTCTAATGGCAGTCTGTATCTATTGTCAATATTACAATCTATTGACTGTCGTTGTATCTATTAACAGTAGTTGATATTTTATGACAGTAGTAATTTCTATTGGACTATTTTTCTATCTTAGTTGTTTGTTATCTACTGACAACTTTGTATTTTATTGGCCATTGTTGTCATTTACTAACAGCTGATCAGTATACAGCTGTTGTATTCCAATGACCTCAGTACCATTCTAATTATTTCAAGTCGATAATTATATGGTAAGAATACCAAGCTTTGGACTGTTAAGGCAACTAAAATATTCAAACGGCACGAAAAAAAAATAAAGTAACTTATATATTTAATTTTTCATTAATATATTCTTGGCTTTCAATACAATGCTTTTGAAGTATTAACCATACCAAACAAAAACTAGTACAGTAATAGTAATTTTAAACAATTTGTGTAAGAATCATTCATAAACTTTATTCCATAACAACAATACCGAGCTAGGACTTTTTTTAAACAACTCTAGCAAAACACAACCAAACGTCAATATTCTCAACAAAATTCTCAATATTCGTCAACCAGATTTACTCATTGTTAATACACAAGCAAGATTAATCCAAAGCCAGATAATATTAATTTTTGGGACATTAATTAATGGTGCTATCCAACAAAAATTTACATGTTACTGTATACATAAACAGAGGTTAGAAGTTTCCTTACAAACAAAGTTTTAAATTTGTAACAGCATAGAGAAAGACAAAGGTTCAGAAAAAGAGGAGAAAGGAACCATTTCAGTCAACAAATCAATCTCTAAAGAATGAAAACTACTTATAAATACGCAATATTTACGTAAGTAATAATAGTTTCCAAATTAACAATCTTTTAAAAACAAGGCAAACGCTAACTAATCCTTGGAAATTTTCAACTGCTCATAACACCATTACGACAATGGTGTAGTGCTAAGTGCAGACCCTTGTCTCAGAATTGCTCTGCTTAGCTTACAAAAGGGTTGTGCAACTGATCTTAGTAGGCTCTTAGTGTAATCGCCCAAACAACCCGGCTAATTTGACTTTGTGGTGTTGTGACCTTCGTCGATTGAAAGATCATTGAAATGGGTTTGGTTTTGATATCACTTTGGAGATTTCATTAACTGTGAACACATTTTTATTTGGAAATTGTTTAATTCACACTACTATTCATTATGGAAGAAAACTTTAAGTTAAAAACCTCTCCAGGATTAATTTGTAATAGACCTTCTGAAACAGAACGTCTTGTTTTGTAAGAAATTAAAACCCCACTTTATGTAAGTGGTTTAGGCCTCTTCAAGTTGAATTAATCAGAAGTATAATGTAATAATTTTTAACACAGAACTATTTCCTTTTGAGCAGGAGTTAACCTAAATTAAGTAGAAGCCATTTCCATTTATAACTATGATATTTTTATTATTAAATAGTTAAAGAATTGAAGAAATAGAACACTGTTACTGAATTTGCATCTGGGTATCTCACTCCTAATTAAATAATATTGAAGGATTTTACTTTAAAATATCAATATGAAGCCTTCTGTCGAGGTTTAGCTAGATCTGTTCTATAATATACAACAGGAACTCATCTGTGGAATATAAATGTGTATAAAAACAATTATTAAGCTAAATATAAATTTAATTAATTGATGTGTGTGTGTTCTTATTATCAGCATTGTTATATAGTCAAGCAAATTTAATAAATTGAAGTTAACAGTGAATTTAATTTTCTTAGACTTAGTTCAATAATATTTGTAATACGAATTTTAATAACAGATTTAATTTTAAAATATTCTAATGGATAGTGATTAATTAAATTAAATGATCACGAGTTAGTTCTCCAATGAGATAAAAGATAATTAATGAAACCAACTTTGGTCAACGGAAGTGCAAACAGAAACTTGGTTGCCTCTACGCAAATTGTAAATAATCAAATAATTCTTCTCAACATGTTATAATGACTAAATTCGTTTTATAACCAAAACATTAATTAGTATTGTGGTTTATTTCCAACATATTCATTTAGTAGATAACTTTTCATGAATGGTTTTGCGTTACAAATTTTCCTGTAGCCTTGTAAAGTCAATTTTTAAAGGTGATCAAACAAAGACCTTGCTTTTGTCATTACCGTTTAACAAATACTATCTGAATAAAAAAAAAATATACATCACAGATTCAACGTTTCAGTTAGTCGCATTATCGTTGATTGACTTTAGGTACTGGAAAAAGTAGTAGAGACTCAAATTGTAAATAGCATTATTCCAGCCACCTACCATTAGCCCAAAATCCAATGTCATGCCAATAAGCTTTGTGTTAGGGATGGATTACGTTGTATTTATTTTTACTCTTTGCTTATAATACACACTAAATAATTAAAATATATATTTACAATCTCAAACCCCTCTGACAGATGAGTCCAAATTATTTCGTAAAATGTTCCTCAATCACTATCTTCAGTGAGTACAAACGTGTACAGCAACTCTCATGAAGATTAGCTTTGAAACTAATTCGAGGTGATGACAAACAATGTTTATTTATATTTCCCAATATTTTTAAATCAAAGCACTAATACAGTCTCCATGTTGTTCAGGTGGAGCAGGGACTGCGCCTATACAACCAGCACAAGCAGCAAGCAGCAGTTTCCAAGTGGCGGAGCGCGCTCAAGAGGATACGGAAACCTGGGGACAAGTTTATCCTGCTAGGCTATCTCTACCAGGCCTACATGGACTGGGGCAAGTTCAGGTAGTTTATCTATAAAAATATTAATCGTTTCATTCAATTTGTTGACTTACCACCTTTTCACAATCATTGATTGAGATGGGGACACCTAGGTGTGTATTTGAACCCGAATATTGTTAAAGGATGATGAAGGATGAGCGTAGAATATAGGTATTTTTAGCTTTGTTGCTGACGAAGATCAGCTGTTTAATTAAACAGCTGTTTATTGAAAGCCAGGGATCAGGGACTGCTGGGTCTAGTTTTGAAGAATCATTTATGGTTTCAGGACAATTAATATAATCAGGAATTACATCTCGATTTGAGGTCCCAAACAGCTATCATAAAACAGCACGGAAAATTACAACGGATATTATTGATAATTTATGTTAATATGAATATTCCAATCAGTCTACAATCAAATCATATTTATAATTCAATAATAGTGATAATCACAATATTCATAGTCGGGGCAGCGTGTTTGTTCGACTAAATTATAAATGTCCACATTGAAATGCAGTAATTACACTCATTAAATCCTATGACTGGAAACAGTAAATCGTGTGTTAATTGCTTTGTTCGTGATTGAGGTTTTCTAAATATACATTTTGATTGTAGAACTACAAAAATACGTTATGCGATAGTCTTCATTTGAATGTTTTAACAATATGATTGATATATAATTAATTAGATGTATTTGTAATGTGCATTAAAACACAACCAACACTAACAAAAACACAAGGTGAAAAACCTTTAGGTTTTGATAATGTATTGTGTGGAACAAAGGCATTTAAAAATATCGATCAAGAGTAGTTAATTCCTGTAATACCGAGACAACTGTAAAGGTTGTCCTCAAATAATTGATCTCCTTTTCTGTTTTTTTTTTGTTTTTTTTTTTTGTATCCAGACAAACACATAATTTTTAATAGTCTGTGCGTAGTTATCTGTCTATCAGATCTGTATGTGATTTGCAATTAAATTTGGATTGCTTAAGATTTGTTTGAGGTACAAATTATAGCAGTAACACTATTACTAAGAATAATATGTATGTATTAATTTTCACGTTTCCAAATTTAACTATTATCGTTTCCGGATGTTGCATTAAAGAAAATATAGATATTAACTCAGAAAAAGTGGACTTGGTTTTCACATTGATTTACTCACTCAACTCATATTGTATTTACATTTTTAAAAGTAAACACTAACATTTTAATAATTAGAAAACATATGATTCAAATAAAGAATTGATGGTAAAGTCTAACCATGCATCTTTTACCAGTTAAACCATAACCTAAAACATGTATACGTCTACGTATTGAAACAAAATAAAATGCTATAAGCTTTGTCTTATGAATGTCTAAACATCTTACTTAAAGATAAATTACTTAATTATACTTAACACTTTACAAATATCTTTAATATTTAATTCCGTAAGCGAATCGGTCCACACGAAATAACTCGAGCTAGGAAAAAGGTGGCATGGATTTTGAGGATTCATTGTAAAGCGTATGGTTTCCAAGGACGGTGGGAAAAATACCAGAAGTGTCAAGAATTACCCCTGCTCTGCCCCACTGGCCGTCAAAGATCCAGTCACTGTCTAATGGCAGTCTATCAGTCTATAAGCTGTTTTGAATATACCAGCTGATTTAAACATTGGGTATTTGTTTGTTTATTGATTTTAGTGTTCTGTTTTTAAGTTAGAACAGTAATGCAGAGGTTTTTGGGGGAAGACTGCAACTAAATAGAGTATTTAGGAATGGTGCACAGCAAAAGGGATGGTTAAGGCCAAATTACTACGAAGGTAAAGGGCAGCAACTACTTCTATGGGCTCATATTTTTGTTCTTAAAATCACTATAGTATACACCACATTGTAAATCACTACAGGCGAAGGACTTTTGCACAGTTAAATCAGCTGATTTTGCCTATTTAACACTAATAAGCTGGTTCGAAGTTTAACTAAGAATGAACAATTTTGTACAGAGAGAGCATGGAGTTCGCACACCGTCAGTTGAACATCGCCGAGGAGGCGGACAGCCCCAACCTGAGGGCGGAGGCCTACCTGAACCTGGCGCGGACCCATGAGAGGATGGGCGCGTTGGAGCGGGCCCTGGCGTGTGCGAGACATTCCCTGTACAACGAGTGTGATCAGTGCAGGACTGCGGGGTTGGTGCAGATCACTGTAGGCAGTGTACATCTGGAGTTGGCTACCTTCTGCAAGGCGCTCCAGGCCTTCCAGCAGGCCCACAGCATCGCGCAGAGGATACAGGACCCAGCGCTGGAACTACAGGTAGTGTAGTCTTTGTAAAACACAACAGGGTCAACACAAACAAAACACAAACCTTTCAAAATACACACTCCACCAATCAATGGTGGGGAATGGTAGGGGCAGTGAGCTGGTCAAGTGGTAGAGCGCGTGACTTTGGTCCTTGAGGTCCCTGGTTTAAATTCCGCCGGAACACCAATGGATTTTATGTATGTGATAATGCGCCAACCCCTAAAAAACAACTCCGGGCTCGTGCCTAGCGTCCTATGAAAACAAAAAAAATGGATAACGGACATTGCAATCCTCTAAAGCTTGCATGAATGTGTAAACCCGTCTTGTGATAGAGCAAGGTGTCCTAGATTGTAAAGGGAGGATATAAAAATATTTTCATCTTCTGTATAGGGTGTCCAGTAAGTACAAAGAATTTAGGAATAGATTAAACGTATCAGATGTATCTATTTGAACTTGGTTTTTTTGATAGAAAACATTAAATTCTCGATTAAAATATTTAACATTTTTTCACAAAATTTGCCACTTTTGAATAGTTTAAGCTGTACGAATTTAAATGACCGCTATTTTGAAGAAAAAAATGTTTGCGAAGAAATGTATACTTGATTTTTTTGCATTTAATTTATTCCTACATCCGTGAACTTACTTACGGGACAACTTACATACACAGCAGATATATATATATATATATATATATATATATATATATATATATATATATATATATAGATATATAAATATATTTGTTATGCCTTTCCTACACATGATAGGGCATTATGCTCTAGCACAAGATGCTTTTACACACTCAGACTAGGGTTAAGGGGTCGCGGCATTATCGCGTGGATAACATCCATTGGTGATTGGTGGGATTTGAACCCAGGACCTCTGGAACAAAAGTCCCACACTCTACCACTAGACTAGCTCACTCCCTTTTTAGGATACATATCAAAGGTGTAATTTCCACTTACTAAAACCTGAGCTAGAGTCAAAATGGTACATTATTGATCTACAGATTAAATCTACCACAATACCTAATAATAAAGTACAAGCATTACAAAAAGGTGAAAAATGACAAAACATTCATTATGATTTCTTGTCAGTCATCGAGTTTGCAAAGTTTGATAGTGTTCATAAATTCAGTATTTCCCCCATTTTGATAAACTATGTAAACTATGGAATCCTACGGACACAAACCTTGGATGCTGAGCATCATGTTAAACTAGAAATGTATATGCAAGTAACATATATGGTACGTGAGGACATAAAAACAAACATTACAAGCAACGAAGAGGTAAGTCCCTATAATCCAGTAACAGACCGATGGGGACAGTTCTGACCACCTGATAATCTGTAATCTTTTATATCAACACCTTTCTTCTCACGGTAATCAGTGTTGGTAAAAATATTTTCACCAAACTTAAATACAGGGTTATTACAAATGATGTTCATGATTTCATACATACATAAAATATAGTTTTATTTGTTATACAAAGAAATAAAATGGTTACAACTTTTGAAAAACTCAAAAAGTTTCGACACAGATACACAGAACTGTAAATGCTCGATACGAGAACCCCTTGTGGTACGACAGATGTCAATAATGTAGTCAAGCTCTTGCTAGACTTTGAAAAGTGTGTCTAGGTCTATTGTTTCGATAGCATTGGTAATCCGTTGCTGGATCTCAAGTATGCTATCTGATAATGGTGGTGTGTACGCCTTATTTTTTATGTATCCCCACAAGAAAAAAATCAGGGGGTGATTTCCGGAGATCTTGTAGGCCAGTTCAGGGGTGTGTCATTATTCGGACCACCGAGCTCGTTCCATATCTCAGGCAGCACATTGTTAAGTTCAGCCCTACTACAAGTAACATTCAAATGCAGCCATTTCTCTTAAATTTCAAGTGTCACTTGCCAATATAGTGGTTACTAGGAGGATAATCGTTAAACCTGGTTCTAAAGTGTCGTTGCACACTAATAACAGATTGGTTAATGGTTAATGTAATATTCTAATTGGCAAAAAGCTTCCCTGCCTTCAAATTCAGCCATTACACAACACTTACAACAATTGACTTGACAAACAGCTGATATGCACCCAAACCAATGTAAATGAAACTTTATGAGTTTTTCTTTCCAATGGTACCAACTAAAATAGTCTTGAAACAAATTAACCCAGTAATATTTATAATCAAAATAAGGAACATCATTTGTAATAACCCTGTATTTACTTTCATATTAATAAGATGTTATTGTAATCGTTATTCTGGTGTAGTAATTAATATCATCTAGTAAAGCTGTAATATCCTCAATGGTAACTGTATGGGGAAATAGTATTTTATTTACAAGTAAATTGCACACATAAACAAATTTTGCTAAACATAAACACGATTACGATTAAATCAACACTCTGTAACATTAATTCTGCAGTCCGTAGTAATTACATTCTCTAGTAAAAATCTGTGAATTTTGGAGAAGAGTACGTATCTTTATACCCAAGAAATAGCAGTTATCGTTTAGAACCACATCTTTATTTACATAGTAACTTGTAGTTCAAAAATACCTCACCAAAATCTTTCATTGCATAAAAACTCATTTTTACATAGTAATAGACTTGGACAGCGCTGAACATAGGTAAAACCACAGTCATCTGAAATGAAAAAGCAAGTCCGCAAACGCCCCTTAGCACTTTAATATATAAACCATGGAATAATAATTTTACTGAACTTCAAATTTTAATCAATGTATGAAAAAGTTGCCATCACTCTTTTACATGAGGCTCCATATCTTCGGCCCCAATCAATTACGCAAAAAGCCCATCCTCTATAAACTACTTCAGCTTGTGTTTTGACATTGGAAACTTTAATTAGACTCGATGGACAAACGTCAAAGCAGTATTGGAGCTCAATGTACAAATTGATTGTTGATTACTAATTAACTATTTCCAATTAAATGATCACACCCGCCAATGTCAATTGATGTTTTCCGGTTTTAGATCACTTTGCTTATTGCCACAAAGGTTCATGTTTTCTTTTTTTATTGACTTACACCAATTTCCTTTGAGTGTCAATGTCATACAAATTTTGATGGTATTAAGCAAAAGAATGTTTTGTCAGCTTCTTTCTAAATAGGTAATTGTAAAACTTTTCTAAGTTGGATTTTTGTGGCTATTTTGTTATTTAAATTTAACAAATCAAAATATTCATAAACAGCAATAGTTTATAGTTTAGTTTATACGCTTATAGTTTATACGGCTTATAGTTTATACGCTTATAGTTTATACGGCTTATAGTTTATACGGCTTATAGTTTATACGGCTTATAGTTTATACGGATTTTGATACATTAGGACGTGACTGTTATCTTATTTCGTTAGAAAAACAACTACTGTATTTAAATAATTTATAACGTTTTGCTCAATTAAATCTTGGTATTTTGAATGTACTGTATATTCAATGTTAAGTATGGATTAAGCCCAAGTTGAACGATTTTACCGAAATTATTCCTTGATTATGGATCAGTGACAGCAAATAATGATTGTTACATTTTATAGTATGTAACAAATTAAAAAGTGGTTTTGTAAAAAAAAAAACTACTTAATCTGTGCTGCAACGGTAATTCTCTCTAAAATAACACTGAATTAAATAGTTTAGTGTCTCTATTAAGATATTAAAAACTAAACTCTTTAAATTAAAACATTGCTGCTCATCGTATTCATATTGCAACATTATTTTACAAAATAGCTTAGAAAACGAAATGACTATTCTCGTAAAGATATCTCAAAACAACAATTAATTTGTTTTCAATTTTTCTAATGCAAATGAGCAGCTGGTTAGTAAGTGATTCAATCATTTTGTCTATTACGATAGTGTTAGTCGACACTGTACTATCGATATGTCGAACTATTGAAAAGAGTGCAACAATAAGCTAAAGCCGATCAAATCAATCAATATATAATTACGATACATGCAATTGTTAGAATCGATTACGGCAGGGATACAATACATAGCTACTTTAGACCCACAACGCTTGTATTAAAAACGGCTGTTTTTGTTGAAGTATGACCAACATCTAGCATTATTATGTTTGATATTTCAAAACTGGGCTCAGCTGTCATTGATTGGGCTATAAACAATTCTGGCTGAATGTATCTACAAACTTCCAATTGTAGTTATAAATGCTGTAATAGTATATTTCGTACCTAGGGCCGAAAATAAGGTTTTGCTGACTCGATATAGTTTTTAAGTTCTCGACTTCGTCTCGAACTTAAAACGATCGAGCTGCAAAGCCATTTCGGTCCGTGGTACGAACGCTATTTTTCACCACACTATACCTTATTACCACTATTCACCACAATAATAATGCACAGTGATAGTCAACACAACTACAACTTTAAGGTTATGTGAAGAAATTAATTGAGGAATCAGCAAAAATTATAATAAATAGTTTCTAGGCAGTGGTGACAATAAAGCAATATTGCAATGCTATATGGATACTGATTGTGTATTTAATATGCATTCATGTTTTAGGAAATTAAGCGGGCAGCTGATTTTGCAGCCCTAGGGATGTAAAAACTTGCTCGGTCCCCAAATAGCGATAACAGCTGGCATGGCCAGCAAAACGTAACTTTCAGCCACCAATTAACGTACAGTATTATATAAAACAGCTAAACATATCATCGTGTGGTGAAAAAGTCATTTTGGCCTAATTCATTTTTCACTTATCTTAACATTCAATTTAGTTTGAAATATATCTTAGTTGAGTCACCATCTTATTACAGTTATGCAGTTATAAGCACTCAATGTAGATCAATGTGTATACAAGTGAGTAGCAAACGTAACTTGTATACCAGTTTTGTATAGCTTAATAACTCTCAGGAGTTCCTCCTCAAACACAGCAGTCAATTAGTGTGTATGAGGTTGACAAAGCAGCAGAGTCCCTACTAGAAAAGACTCTAATTGGCTGTTATACGTCACTGTTTAGTAAGCATTCTGCACTTTTTCCCTGGATTTATCATTAAACACTATTTCATGAAGAATATTAAACAAGGCATTCCATTTAAGAGTAAAAATAAAATGGAAGCTATGTTTATTATTTAGTGTTTAGTTAAGTTCTTAGTATTGAAATTTTCCCACCAGTTGCCTCAGGATAACAATTGTTATGGTTAAACACAGTTTTACATATTATTTATTCATATTTATAATTTAGTTAAAGGAGCGTCAGGATGACGATTTTAATTTGTGAATGAGAGAAGGGTGAATTTAGAACGGAGTTGAAGTATGAAGTCTTTACATAAGACCATGTGTTTCTTCCGCGGTGATAAAAAAAACATGATAGAGGGCAAGTAGGCTCAGTTTTAAACTATCAAAAACTTATAGACTTTTAACAGAACAGAACAAACTACTCTATGACTGCATGACAAGTGCGCTATAACCCACCTATCAAGGTCAAATATTTAAGTGAATTTATTTATAATTTATTTCGACTAATATTTTATTGACTAAATTATTTACTCATACTAGATGTTTGTATAAGATTCAGTTTTTATTATTCCAATAAAATAGGATAGATGAGTTAAGTTTTGAACCATAAAAATCTACAAAATAATTTCAGGACCTCTCTGATTACTGAGAAATATCCACTCAACTAGATTAACCACTTGGCTATATTTTGATTGTACCCATCTAAGCTAGTGGCTTAGATTCCCTTTTTTTCAAGGAGAACGATCCTAACTCCGTATTGTCACTTTCTAACACCGAATTATTTCGTAAACATTATTAATTGATAGCCCAGTGACCAACAGTGACTGGGTCTGGTAACGATCTCGCTTGCAATCGAATCAGCGTCCTTATAACCAGCACTAACCTCTACTCAGACAATATTCATAACAACTTCTACTCACATTCTATTGACATTTAGGTGTACGTTGGCTTGTCAGAGCTCTTCGGCAGACTACAAGACGCCGACAAGAGCGCGAGGTACGCCTCCAAGGCGTACGACCTCAGCAGGAACCTGCAGCTCGGGGACCTCAACAGCAGACACCACAGGGCCGCGCTGCTGCAGATGGCTTCAGCACTCAGGAAACAAGGAGAGCTTGGGGACGCTCATGACTACTGCAGCGTGAGTATCTGTCCACATTATCCGGACAATGGTTTAACCGGACTAGACTCGGCAGAATGACATCTCTGAAACCGGACTGGGTCGGCAGGAAGTGGGTGGAAATCAAACGAATTTTCTCTTAGGAAAGATTTGGGAACATCAATCATGTGTCCAGTTTGACTATTTTACGGCCATTATTGGTTTATATGCGTTAGATGTTCCTAATTTAATGAGTTGTAGGGGATGTCGGTTTATCCGGAACTCCCACTATCCAGATTGGTCTCAACCCTGGATAGGGAGTCTACTGTAATGAATTTTTATGTTGGCAGCTTGGTTAGCTTGCATTTTCCTATCTATATAGGCCTAAGACATTTCTGTATATCCGTAAAACGTATTCAGCAAAGTAAGGGGTGAGCCGGTTCAGTGTGCAAGTGAATCGTACAAATAAGATTTAGCGCAATGGCGTGGGAACTCATGACATTGCTATCATGGATTTTAAATACTTCAAGTTGGTACGTCGTGTGGCCAACCGGGCCAATGATTAATATTTACTAGAAGTAAAAGTGCTAGTGCCTTTTAAGCCAATAGCATTTTACCAGTAAGTAAAGCAATCATGAAAACCTTCTAAGGAAAACGGTGCAATCTCTCATATTTTCGTGGATATGGTCTAACCTGCCCCTCTAGCATTGAGCAACACGATTAGAATATGTTGGATATTTTGTGCACGTTAAATAATGATTAATGCTAATAATAATGTATCTTTACATATACGAAAACTTCGTGGGAATGAGTTGCTGAATTTCAGTGTAATAAAAAGTGAATCAAGCTCCAAACGAATAAACAAAAACATCGGCTGACCTGGAATGCAAAAGGGGACATTTTTGGTTCAGATGCCTAGTATTTAATAAACTCATCAATCCAGAACAAATTAAAGATATAATGTTTCACTAAAAAACAATGCAATTCACTAGCAATTTGTTATCATAAATTTCTAATACATTTTCTTTCCCTTTACTGTACAACACGTATTACATTGTTTCCATATAGCCATAAAATCCATAAATCCCCAAAGAGTTTCAACGATAAAACTACTTTCATGCACATATTATCAAAAATGTATTTGACCCACTATACTTGTCTACATACTAAGTAGTTTGGAAGACTTGTAAAGATAATGTAGCCAACTTTGAGCAAGCAAAGGAAGGTAATATAGTTAGGAAAGTTTTAGAAGGCAACGTTGTCGCTTTAAACTTCGTTCCTCCTTGCACTCTCGAATAAAAAACATTTACGCTCCTTCCATGCTTTAACCTGGATGTTAGAAATTATGGTAGTTACAAAAAATTTAATTTGTTTGGAAACGATTTGATAAAATATTCATTGAAGGAATTATGGTACAGAATTTTATTTTCTGCTAAGTTGGCACTATACCATTCAAGTATTGAGATATTTGCATAATTCAATGCAGTGATTAATTATAGTACATGAACTATTGTACTAATAAACGTTTGACATAGCTTCCTTGGTTTTCCTGTCCATATCGGTACCACAGACAATAAATAATAGAGTATTTCTCTTGTCAGTGTTACCATCGACATTTAAAAGGCACATTCCTTTACCTTTTCTTAAAATATCATAAACATTTTGTTCATATTACTGGCATTTCAATAAAGCAATCATAATAGGAGCGGACTTAAAAAATGTCTGACGGGAATATTGATCACGCAAAGAGCTACACTATTTAGAATGCATAGTGCATGTTTATGCAAAATATGTTTTCAGCTTTGCAAAGCTCTTATTGATGAAACACAAAGTGGAGCTCAAGGCAATATTGAATGAATTAGAATATATCAGTTATCAGTATATTAGTAATAATATTTTCAGCATGCGTTAAGACTTGACTGTAATGAATTAGAGCTTTTAAAATATGAATAGATTGAATTTGATCAAAACTAATGTAATGAAATAAAAAATATAAAAGATTAAAAATCAATAAAACATATTAAGTTATTAAAATAAAATAGAATATTATCAAGTGAAATGGAATAACTTAAAATGGAATTTCTTGAATAAAATTGAATATATTTAAATTGAATCACAAATAATTTATTCATGTCCATTAGAATAAAATGTAACTGAATACAGGGAAATTGAATTAAATGAAAAACCCCAACTACTCATGCCTATTCAAACTGAAAAGGGTGGAATTAATTTAAATGCAAATTTATGGAATGGATGCAATGGTTGAGAATTAAATTATATGGGGTATAACTGTAATCTGAGTGAAACGGAATAAAATGTATTTCCATAAAATGTTGTTTTATAAAATGTTTTAAAATAATAAAATCCATATTAGTTTAGATAATTTGAGGGCATGCGTCATAATGACTTTTCGACTTCTAGAGCGTTAACATCAGTTGTCGTATCAGTCATAAGATTACACGCCCAACTTCGCTGAGCCCATTAGCCCCAGCTTCAAACGTTACGGATAAAACCGATGTAATAGTTTATACGTAAAACATACCATATAAATTTCATATAAATTGTGTAAATCATTGTGCCAAAGGAGAAATTTAGTCGGCGATGAATTAGTGTAAACAGCGTCAAACACTATGTAATTTTGAACTAATCTTACTGGATTATTCTGTTAAAATCCTAACTTGTAAAAGGAAATAAATTGTGTAATATCGTGTAAAACTTGTTTGGAACTAAACAGGAATTCAGACAATCAGCGATGCATTTTCTTAAACATCTTTGATCACTACGGGATCTTAAAAACAATCTAACTGGGTTGTACTGTTAAAACAAAACGTGTAAAGTGCATCTATAAATGGTGTAAAACTCCTTGTTTATAACGAGGCTGAAAATCAGAAAATTAATTGTCGACGAATTTGGGTCTATAAGTATCTTACAAACATTACGGAATATTAAATTTGATGTGAAATGTTTAGTCAAATAAAATGCAAAAGACTCACCTCTACTTATGAATCGTGTACGATCTCCTTTTTGGTGAGGAGACAACTAACAGCGAAGAATCAGAATGTAAACTGACTCAGTGCTGTACTTCCAATAATTATGGTTTTCCGATAATGTGATAAACTTTATTCCGGATGGAATAGGAAATCATGTTATATAGGGCACATGTCGTTGGGTTCCCACAAATGTTTAAATTTTCCACCAGAGTTAACTGTTTATGGCAAACGTTTTAAGTCATTTTAATCGCAGTGCAGTCTGTGGTATAATATATCTTATACAATAGAAATCTCTGGGGAGTGAGCTGGTCTAGTGTTTAGGGCGTGTTACTACAGACCCTAATGTCCCGGGTTCAAATCCCGCCAAATCACCAATTGTTTTATTTAAGTAATACTAGTGTACCTGTTGCTCGAATTCGAGCAATTGCGAAGCATTACAGGTGAGTCAAAGATTATGGAAATACTGACGATCTACACAACAGTTAGATATAATCAAAATATTTTGTAAATATCTTATCTTTTTTCAAAAAGCTGATCTTGTTTTTTTTGTGTTTTTGGTGTAAAAACGACATTATTTCTATTTCTTCTACTTGGTTGTGTTCTATGACTTTTTTCCATTGTTTGCAAATCGGTTATTTCAATGATTGCTCAAGAAATGTAGCGCAATGACAATTCAGTTTTATTTTTAGCCTATATCAAATTGTCCAGAATTGCTCGCTCTTTTCCATTGTAATGATTACACCAACCCAAGTTTCGTCTACAGATGCAATATGCCAAGGAATATCACCTACGTAAAATCTCCAAGAAGTGGTAAAAAAGGCAGAAACCAACCCATACAATAGATATAAGTTAACTCCATAAGAAATAATTTTAAAAGTTACTGTGATATTAGGATTTTCCACTGATTTGGTAATAGAACATTATATTGCAAAACATGACACGATGCAGAATAAAATCAATTTTAAAATCAGAAAAATCCAGTGCAAATACTGAACTTCATTTTGACAAATTCAATAAATCACAATTTAAATATTAACAGCTGTTGCATTAAAAAGTAGTGTAGAATTATGCATATGGTCGTAATGTAAACAAATCTGAAGAGGCAACTTTAAAGGCTTCTGGGGCAGAACCCCAAGGGAATTTACCTCTTTCCTCTTTTGATGGCTCATCTACAGACCAAGACCTTTCTTTAGAGACCCCTACCAAGTTTCTACGCCCAGCCGTTCTCTCAAATTAGCTGTGAAAAAAATCCCGTTTTTCTCCATAAGAATAACATGGAATGGGAATTTAAAGGCCACGGGGCAGAGCCCCAAGGGAATTCACCATGTTTCTCTTTTGATGGCTCATCTACAGACCAAGACCTTTCTTTAGACACCTCTACCAAGTTTCTACGCCCAGCCGTTCTCTCAAATTAGCTGTGACAAAAATCCCGTTTTTCTCCATAAGAATAACATGGAATGGGAATTTAAAGGCCACGGGGCAGAGCCCCAAGGGAATTCACCATGTTTCTCTTTTGATGGCTCATCTACAGACCAAGACCTTTCTTTAGAGACCCCTACCAAGTTTCTACGCCCAGCCGTTCTCTCAAATTAGCTGTGACAAAAATCCCGTTTTTCTCCATAAGAATAACATGGAATGGGAATTTAAAGGCCACGGGGCAGAGCCCCAAGGGAATTCACCATGTTTCTCTTTTGATGGCTCATCTACAGACCAAGACCTTTCTTTAGACACCTCTACCGAGTTTCTACACCCAGCCGTTCTCTCAAAATAGCTATTACAAAGAAAAACAGTTTCAAATTAATATACAGGGTGATTTGTACTGACAAAATTTTTTTGGTGTAAGTACAAAGTAAATTAAGTGTGATGGTGCATATCAAATGTTTCAAGTCTAAAAATTAGCTTCCCAAAAATTATTTTATGTTTTTCAAAACTAACCATGTTTTTAAACTTAATACAGTGATTTCACAATTACCTGTATATGGTTTTGAGTAGATAATGTCATTTTCGTGTTCTACATTAAATTTTGAACAAGAATAATGGAAAAAGACGGAG